GCGTGCAGTCTGCTTTGCGTCCAACAGTTCATTCTGCTGTATGAAATGAGAAAAAACACTTTAAAGACCAAAGATGGAGGTGGGAGAAATGGTGGTGAGGAAAATGTTTGCATATGTGCGTGTGTGGGGGTCTTCAGATGTCGTGTGTGGGTGAAGATAGAATTACACAGACTGTACACTGAGAGAACAGCCAGTTCTAGGCTACAGTTTATGTAAATGTTACAAAAATAAACTTCAGATATGATTTTCCCTGCGTGAACATACAGTCTTTAAGAAAAGCCTGCACGCTTTACGTGTTATCTTGCCAGTCAGACTATTTTATCTGTATGTTGAGGAAATGCCTGCCTTGATATTCAAGAAGAATTTACACAGATGTTGCTGTGAAGGCAAGGGGATCATCAGCTGCCGACCAGCTAACTGTCACAAGTGTCAAATCTTTTATCTTAATTGGTTTGTTGATTCTACTGATATTGAGAGTCAGTGCAAGCAGAAAACACCCACAATCCAATTTATGTAATACAGAAACTATTTTGTCTGAGAACTCGTGTGGGGTTTAGTCACTGCAGTGTTTAAAGCTGAACGCTAGCAGGCTGATTTTAGATTAAAACTACACCAAAAGTCATGGAAATGCACTCAACAGCTGATAAAGTGTCTAACTCTGCACCAAATAGGTGAGATAATGATTGCATTGGGTGTGTCACCTGTGGCCTCTATTTCTTGATGTGCATCTTGAGCCACAGAAGCTTTTTCTGTCAATGTTTTCAATATTTGTGTGATAGCAGCACACTCTGTCTTTACGGTGAGATAGCACACACGGTTTGCAGCGTCCCGACATTTTTAGGGTTGGGGTTGTAACTGCGGCTCTCAGTTTGACTTCTAGAAAGAGTTTCCTACGATGTTCTTGTGATTGTAAAGGTTTTAGTGTAACTCGAAAATGATAAGCAAGCTTTAGGAAATAACTTTATATGTCAAGGCTTATCTAAACCACAGGTGAACCACACTGACAACCACAGATAACAAGTCAGCCTTGGAGTCACTGACTGCACCATTAATTTGCAAAGCGCAACCAGGTCAATTTTCAAAGTACTTCTTGGAAATTTTGTAGCACAAAGCAGGAAGTGGTCATTGTTTGCCAAACTTTATTAAATGAAAGACAGTCAGACTTTTTCACAATATCAGATGACAGCAAAAGTAAATGTGTTTATATCAACTTTAATATATGTTTAACAATGCCAGCCGTGCATATTAAAAAGTCAAAATGCATGCTCCACAACTAAACAGTTAAACAGATAATACATAAAGCTAAATATTTGTGATAGTATAATAACATAGGAACACTCAGATCATTAGTATCATGCTAGTGCTGTAGCAGGACCTACCAGTGTAAGATAAAGAGCTATTTCATAACAGTTTAAACGTATATAGTTTTGATAATGGCATAAAAAAACATGTGTGTGTGTTTACTCAACAGTGGTCACCTTTGTATTCTCTATTACTGCAAACATTCCCTTAGTATATAATCAAGGTCTGTTTCTGTTGGCTTCATGCAACTTTTGGCCAAAACACCAAGGATTTCTTTTCTTTGTCCATCCAGTAATTATGTATATGTTTAGAAAAGTTAATTTTTGTTTTTAGATAACAAATTTTATACCAGAATCAGTCATTTAATTAGCCTACAAGCTTAAATTATATAATAGTGTCTTCGATCTTGCACTTCTTAAGCTGTCAGTTGCTTTCCGGTTATCTTCAGCTGCCCTTGAATAAAGCATTTAACCTCCTAACTCCACCTTGGGACGCTACTGAAGTGGAACACCCAAACCAGCTTGTGATCTGGGTAAATAAGGTCAGGTCTGACTCTTGCCCTGTGGTACTGAAGGCAGGTTAAAGATATTTTTTTACAGTTATAATATCACAGATAACACAGATTGAAACAAGGACAGGCAGGTGAATTTGAGTACGTTTACTAAAGCTGAAAAAAACTAATTTGAAATTATGAAAAAATATATCATTTTGTTTCTCGCATTGACAGCATATTTTCTAGTTTTAAGATAAATCTCTTTTTTGGTGCACGAGGAATGATGTTGTTGTTCCTGTGTTTACCTGTAATCATGTAGCTGTGTAAGCAGAGGCTGCGGGTCTGCACTGGTT